TGAAATACTTCTTTTAAAGAAACCCTGTTCATTCTATACAAAATTCCTGTTATTTTCAGTCGATCATAATGTAGTTTTGTATGTAGATTCACAAAACTCTTGTTATAAACGAATTGAGTTATTTGAAGGAATGCAGTATTAAATTCAAACAAACACTGTGTGTTCAGATCAAGTTGATATTTCTCTCCATTTGAAACAGTTTATTTTTCCCTTCAAATAGGTGGTGAATTTTGAGATTGTATTATATTTTCTTGATTCAAAATAGTTCATCTTCGCAATGATAAAATCAAACGAATGATGTCGTTGAAAGGCCAAGAAATTTGATTTATTTGTTGAAAAAAGTGTGATTTTCTGGTGGAACATGGCGATGTTGGCATAAAGTAATAGTTTTTTCAATAGAGATAAAATTTTCAAAGTAACCTATGATCTTCTCTTTAAGAAATATTTTTTACTGTGTGGTTTCTCCTCGTTGTGTGTTTCTCTTGTGCTCGGCATTGCGAACTTCCAATGGCCTCTTAGTTTCACCGATGTAGAATTTGCCTCACTGACAGGGTATCCAGTGAATACAATTTTTGGAATCGCATCCGCGTTTGATGGCCTGGTTTTCGTGAGGCTGCTGCCGATGGTGTTTCCGAATCTGAAGTAGATTCCGATGTTCTACTTGGACCTCATTTTTCTTATCTTTCCGACAATTCTCTGATCTAGGTAGGCACTGATTGTGACGGCTTCTCTTCTTTACGAAGCTCTCTCTCCATGTCTTCTAGTCAAATATGTTCCACCATCACTTGAGGGTTACCACTCTATTGAAGATCGTTTCTTCTGATAACGCTCATTTCCTTTTCGAGACCTTCCTTCGTATTACGAAGTTAGGAAGCACGATTCTTTAGAGTCTTGATGATTTCTCTTTTGATAGATTGATGATGGTTGGATTCGTGATTCAGATAGTGTACCGAATGAGTGAGTTTTTGGTAAATAGATGTTTTCCATTTATTGTCGGTCTTCTTCACCAATACGTCTAATATGGCAATTCGTTGTGGACTTTCTTCTCCATTATGCAGGTGATGGAGGATTTTACACTGTTGATGTGCTTCAGAAAGTGGTCTAGTTCTGTATTTATATGGTTCCATACTATGAAGGTGTCTTCAACGTGTCACCAACCAAACTCAGGTCTCCTTCAATGGCTTATTTATTGCTCATTCAATTGCTTATTTTCAATTCTCTTTCTATTACTTTCTCCCTATTTGGTCATTTTCATCTTTTATCCAAATCATATCATTCTTCTCATTGTATTTTCATTTAACGTTTTATTTTAGCTTTGCATTCTAATTTTATTCGTTCTTTCATATATTTCTAATCATAGACAATGAAAGTTTGAACTAGCACACTTGTCTCGTCATTTCATTTTTTTCCAGGATATCGGCTACAGAGGCACATATTCACCGGCAGCAGGAGTTTGCATATCTTAATTGGGGATCTAGAAGTGATTTCGAATTGGGGTGAGAGTAACCAGGTTCAATTCAGTGCCACAAAAATACAGATATCGGTTGTCTCCAAGAAAATAAATGTTTCCGAATCGGATATAATAATGTCAGATTAGACAATTTCCTTTTCTACTTCGACAAATTTGTTGGGGGGTTGAAATTGACACCATAATGTCTTGGCACAATCATGTCGCTGGAATCACAAAGGCTGCTTCTCAAAAGGTTGAAAAACTCTTCCATATCTGAAAACTGTACACACCTTAGCAACTTTTGATGCTTTATAGAGCTCAGATCAGACCTCATTTGAAGTATTGTTCTCATTTACGGAATCTTTAAAAGCAAACTTCTCTGAAGAGGTAAAATACCTTGGTACTATCCTCGACAGGAAGCTAACATGGAACTCTCATCTACAGACTAGAGCAAAAAGAGCATACGTGGCTTATGAGCAATGTCGGAGGACAGTGGGACGCGCATGGGGTCTTTCACCCCGTGTGGTCACCTGGATCTACACTGCAATAATAAGTCCTATGTTGAAGTATGGAGCCATTGCAAGGGGACCGAAAGTTCTACAAGCAACAGCCATCCAAAAATTATATAAAATACAGCGACTGGCTTGTTCAAACATCACAGAAGCCATAAGAACAATACCAACCGCGGCAATGGAATTAATCACGGGTCTGACATCTCTGGATCTGTACGTTAAGGAGGTTGCGTTAATGGCTATGGTACGATTGCGCATGGCTGGTGTAAACATCGAAGTAGGAATGGATCAATTGAGGCTGGGCCTATGGCGGGAAGCGCTTACTGCGCAACCTCTGCTGCAGGCAACAGGCGATGCAATTGAACCCAGGTTTGTGTTTAATAAACCCTACAAAATACAAATTAAGCAGAACATAGAGTCGGATATACAAATACAATACGGATTCATACAGACGGCTCAAAAACTGAAGAAGGCTCAGGGTTTGGAGTGTACTTCAGATCACTAGGCCTAAGAATTGAGTGGGAAATGGGAAGAAATATCAGCGTGATCCGAACAGAACTGGCTGGTATCCCAATCGCCTCAAAAGAAATGACCAAGAAATGAATTTTTGGCAAAAACATAACAATCTGCACTGACAGCAGACAAACCCTATTAGCCTTGAACAGACAACGTATAACCTTAGGGCTAGTACTAGAGTGTCACCAAGATTTAGCCAAAGCCTCGCTAGATAATAACATTATCCTGAGGTGGGTTAACGGGCACGACAGGAGTAAAGGTAATCGCATCGCTGACTCTTTAATCAAGGAAGCGACTGGACTAAGAATTTCAGGACTCAGTGGCACCTACGACCTGATGACTTCGACAATTGCAGAACTAGTCAAATGTTACACCCATGATCAATCCTTGAAGAGATGGGATGGAATCAAAGGATGTAATCTTGCCAGGATCACCTTGGGCGACCTTGGGAAGCTGGTGCCGAAAAAATATCTGGCGATGACCAGAAAAAATTCACGCCTAATATTAGGATGTCTGACTGTCCACTGTCAACTGAGGAAACACCTTCATAATATGCGGCTAGTGAACACATTTCTATGCAGGATGTGTGAACAGGAAGATGAGACTGTCAGGCATGTCCTGTGCGAGTGCCCGGAGTTATCGTCAATAAGAGAGGAGATGTCTCCCAGTGACCTGTCCATCTTCCTGGAAGGGACAGGATGGACGATGACCTAGCAGGACAACTCCTCCTGAGGATGTACAATGGGACACACGTGGCCTGAGTGCTGTGGGCTTACACTCACCCTCCCTACTTTAAAGAGGCAGAGAGAGCTCAGATCAGACCTCATTTGGAGTATTGTTCTCATTTACGGAGCTTTACCTCCAAACATACCCTGAAGTTGCTGGATTCCATCCAGAAAAGAGCCATCCACCTGATTGGAGACGAGAACATCACGTGCAACCTTGATAGCCTGGAATTTCGAAGAAAGGTTGGAGATTTGTCCCTCTTCTATAGATAGTTTCACGGGAAGTGTTCAAGTGACTTGGCACATTTGATTCCACCAAGAGCGGTGCATATCAGAAATACGCGACGGTCTGTGTCTACTCATCGTTTTGAAGTCGAACTCACTACACCTCGAACTTCACTTCATCTGGAGAAAAGCGTTTATGTGGAATTAAGTCTCTGTGAACGTTTTCCCAAATGGATTTAGTCTCCAGCGATTCAAATCCTATGTGAATCGCTACTTTCGCACAGGCAACGCTCTAAGAGTACCTTAAGGATTTTCCTGTAGTGCATGTGTTTTGTACTTGAAAAAAAAAAGAAAAATTCTCCATGAAATATCGTCATCCACTTCCCAACAAAGGTTTATCCTCGATATAAGTTTGGCACTTTTCTTTTATCTCAGGTCACACCTATGGTAATTTATTTACGCTCTTTGTCTTGAAAGTAACCATAAATATAGAATCGAGAAGGTTCTGAATGTTTGTGTGAGTTTCATTCACGGAATACGTCGGTCTGACTACGAATGTTAAAAATTGAAGTGTCCCAACATGGAAAATCGTTGAAGACTTCATCTATCAACGTCCATTTATACAATGAGGACGATGGTAATCGTAGAAGGCTAGTCCCATACACTTTCCATCAATATAAGGGACAAGGGCTTAATCACGATGCCACGTCATTTGACAGCTAGTTTCCAGTTCAGAACAGAAACCTAAAGTTTTCGAGCCTATAAAATGTTCATTGAAAAATTCTTACTATCCGCAGTAATAATAGCAGTTGGTAAATATTGGTCGAACACATAGCAGTTCTTTTTTTAATTGAAAAATTGTACTTACTGAAATATTGATGCTCGAGCAAGAAAAAGATAATTCAATACTATATGAATATTATTGAAGTTCTATCCCAACACCCAACCGTTATTTTCAACACCTCGACACGTGTTTTAATCACCAAGTGATCATCTCCAAGAGGATGATCACTTGGTGATTGGAACACGTGCCGAGGTGTTGGAAAAAACGTTATTTTTAACATCTCGACGCGTGTTGTAATCACCGACTGATCATATTCTTGAAGATCACCAAGTGAGCATCTTCAAGAGGATGATCACTTGGTGAACACGTATCGAGGTGTTGGAAATGACGTTATTTTTAACACCTCGACACGTGTTTCAATCACCAAGTGATCATCTTCAAGAGGATGATCGCTTGGTGATTCGAACACGTATCGAGGTGTTAGAAATAATGTTATTTTTCAATCACCAAGTGATCGTCTTCAAGAGGATGATCACTTGGTAGACACTTGTGGAGTTGTTTGAAATAACTTTATTTTTAACACCTCGACACGTGTTTCAATCACCAAGTGAACATTTTGAAGAGAATGATCACTTAGGATAGAACTCCAATAATATTCATTACTACACCCAAGTTTCCAAACAGTGCATCAAAAGTCAATACTATTTGTAAAAACTATTATACAGTTTGTTATCTCCATACAATAAACACCAACCATATCGTTATTATTATTACCATTTCTTTTTCAGGTGGAAAAGTGCCTCAAGATCGGACCATCATCAGACGAGTATTGAGAACTCTATCTTTGCCTTTGTTTATTTGTATGTGTATCATTTCGAGCGTTGGAATCATAGTAGCGGGTGTTTTGATAGGTTTCAATATTTGGAACAAACACAGACGGTAAGTAAATAGAAGAATCATTTCGAAAAATTATATCGTAATAGAGAATGAGGCATTGCGAGAATCATGTCAAGTACTGCAAAATGTAATATTGATCTAATAAAATTAATTTGCGAAGAGATCATTTGGAAGGTTTTATGCGTAATGAAAAAAATTGTATGTGTATGGAAATGGTGGAAGGTAATGCTATTGCTGGATTGCTAAGACTTACAGGGTTGGTCAAATAAAAGAAAAGTTTTTTCTGTGACGTGAAAAAAGTTTGACATTTTATCTCTGATGAGAGGTAACAAAATATCACCTTTTATGAAAAGTGAGTATTTTTTCCCGGGGAAAATTTAATATATTCTTCAGTAACTACAAATCTCTTGTTTACATCATTCTTTGTTTGCTTGAGTTTCACAATTAATAACGTTCTTGAATCTTCAATATCATCTAATGTTACCTGGCTGATTTTACAAATTCGACAAGCTCCTGCAATCCCGAAAACAACAACAACCTTGGCCATTAAATGAACTCCATCGAGAGCATTATTTAAAAAGTCACTAATATGTGTACTCGTAAATATCGCAGCTTTCTTGGGCCTGTAACCGTTTTCATTTTGTTTCAGAAATGTAATTAGTTTGAAATATTTTGAAATGTCTACATTATCATTGGATTGTAACATACTTTCAATCATTGAATAATTCGACAACACTGTTGATGGTTTTTGTTGTTGTGCCAGTTCCGAAAAATAAGCCAATACCTCCGTCTGAAAGAACTGCATGTCTTTTTCATCTTCCATTCCGTGAATCTTGAATACGCGGTTTCATAAATTTTCCGCGATTCAGCTGGCAATAATTTTTATGACGCTACTTTCGCTGCTTCTACTAACTCTGATGTAGTCAGAGAAAACTCGGAATTAGACATTTTTCAAAATAACTACTGACCACTAAGTTCGCAATTTCTAAATCAAATCACAGAATCACATTGACAGATATTTGATTCAATAAATTGATAGATGTATCCGTTACTACGTGGTAGGAAATTATGATGAAAAGAAAAATGAAAATTTCTATGTTTTTACCACTTTCATTTGTAACTAACGTTACTGCAGTTTCGTCCTATACGGACATTTTCAAACTTATACAATAAACTAACAATGATTCATTACATTCGCCATTATATACCACCCCTGTAGGTCCTAATACAGGTACTTGGCTTCATTGAGAACCTGAATTTACAGTCACAATGCGGATCTGCCAATTTGAAAATCGGTGAGTAAACTAAATCGATTTGATCATTCAACAGGTTGCACCCCCAATGTTTATGCTTGTGAATTTCCAAAGATTCTACATAATTGAGTTTATAATCCTTCCTTGCATAGTGCAAAATTTCCGTATCGTTTAGATTTGGAAACTTGTGGGTGCATGCCAAGGAATGGTTTGAAAACGCCGAATCATTTTTTCCTAGTCCGAGGGACCTTTCATATTCAACATACCGTTTTTGGAAATTTCGGCCACATTGTCCCACATAAACACTATTACACTCCGGACACTCAAGCTTATAAACTCCAGATTTCTCCAACTTGTTCACCTTTTCTCTGAAGAAACCCGAAATTATCTCAGTTCTTTTTCCAAAATATGTTAGCGTTACCCATTTCTTGATTTCTGGTTGTTTGACCTGAGGGTATATTAATCTGTAAGTGAATTTCTGGCTTTGTTTCCTNCCGGAAATGTCAGTTTCTGATCCAGAATTGTCTCAGAAATCCAAAAATGTTACAATATACAGGGTGTTCCATTTAAAAATTCAGAACCGAAGCCATTTCCGCTGAAACCGGAAGTGACCGGAAAGTGAAAAATATGTGAAAACATTCCTCTCCACATACCATTCAACTATACCAAATCTCATTTCAATTCTCCTAATAGTCTAGAAATTATGACTTGTCTAATAGATTCGTTGACACCCGGTATAGATATTTGATTTTTTATTGATTGGTTTCCTAACAACGCTATAAGTACAACAGCCTACCTGTCTAAACATTCAAATTTCACATCGATAATTTTCTGACTTCAACATATTGTTATAATATATTTTTTTCAATAATAAATCGTCGTTTTTCCCCTCACAGAAAAAAATGTGTATTATTCACGGAGAAAATATTAGATTTTAGCTCTCGGTTTTTTGTTTCCCTCCGCTTCGCGTCGGGAGCTAAATCTAATAATGTTTCCCTTGTATAATAAATAACTATTTATTTTATTTTATTTTTTTTCACAAAGCGACTATTATTGGCCGTTCTTGATTTCCGGATTCCATTACATAGAAAACTTTTCGTGCTGTGTCATGTTTTATCTGCTATTAACCAATTTTCATTGCAACCTTTTGTTTTGGATTGCAAGATCACCTTTTTTGTCAATACAGGCATCTAGGTTTTCATTAATTTTAGAAGATACGTCCATAACAAAATCAGTCAATTTTCGTAACCTATAATTTCTTGAAATTGCTCTTCGAAAAAACACCACCAAAGTTGGGTTATACAACTCCTCGTTAGAGATGTCTCGAAAAATGAGAAACCAATATTCCGAACTAGAAGTTTTACATTAACTCAAAATATGATTGAAAAATTTGCAGGTAGGTGTGAATACCCATGCAATTTTTGATGTTTTCATGGAAGATTACAAGTGTTGCATCTCTGACAGGAAATTGTATGAGTATGACCTAACTTTGATGATGGTGATGGTGGAACATGAACGAAAAGTCGCATTGAACATTGGTTCATACACGATCATGACAAACATGGAACAGCACAAAAGTTTCTCTTTCTTATTTCGATATTATCTGAAGTAGATCCGGTGATCGCAATCTGAATGAATTCAGCTTAGGTCTGATTTAAATAACCTTGAAGGCTTCACCATTTCAGATATAGCATCAGTGGGATCTGTTAAAAAACGGACTGTATAAAAGTCACATAGAATATTTAAGAAATCAAATAGCAAGGTAAACCAGCAGCTAACTATAGAAGGGTTTGTTTCATTTTTGAGCAGCATCATCGACAGTAAATTAATTTTTTGGTACAGATATATAGACGACGTTTCAGCCTGTTCCACAGGTCACATCAACCATTACAGGTTTTTTTCAAACAAATCAATTTCATATACCAAAACATAAAGTATCTATTCAATATAACTCAAAACTGATATTTCCGGATCTGATCATCACCAAAATCAATAACAAACATGATTCCACAATTTACCAACAACCAACCCATACAGAAAAAAATAAAACAAATATCAACGACCATTCTAATCACCCTTATCAACATAAACTAGTAACTTATCAGAGCATGATCTACTGATCCATTTTATTCTCTATGTCAACAGAGAAACTATTCAAATCAACTGTTAAACAGTATACCCTCGCATCAGAGGTAACACTGAGGCCTCTCGTCCACTGGGAGCGGAAAATGCGATAAGTTGCGAAATCAATTCGTCAGAATTCTCAAGACAACGCACGAACGATCCAAACACATGGATCGGTAGGGGACCGCGTCAACTTGGCCCGTATAGTTCGTCAGTTTTCGTCCGACTAGGTGTGAATTGCGAATCGATTCCGTTCTGCTGGAATTTGATTACGATCTAGTGCGAAAATAGTTACAATTATTTATTGAAATGATTATTTTTTCATTCGAAAATAAGAAAAGTGTTGATCATCTTCGATTTAAAGATCATGCCACAAATGAAAAAATTCACCGAACTCCTTTTTTTACGGGATGGGATTCACCCCTGATACGATGATGGGTCAAAGGTAATAATTCCAAAACGAAAAATTCTTCTTCAGAATAATTAAAAAATCCGTTCCAAAGAACCATCTCACCTACTACGAATCCGGACGGATAGTCAGTAATGGACGATGTGCATCGCACGATTCATACGAACCGAGTTCGCAAGAATTCGTTGCTTCACAGTTCGCAGAAAAGATAGGTAGACTACTAGTTGAACAAAACATGAACATAGCATACAAGACTGATAAACCTTAGGTAGGTGTATAAAAACCACAAATCCAGCATCGACAAGGACAACAAATCGAAGTTCTACAAGCTAAAATGTTGCTCATTTGAAAAAGTTTATATTGGGAGAACACCTAGAAATTACAAAACCAGAATATCCGAACATAAAAAAGTTTTGAATTGAAAAAATCCCTAGAAATTATTGAACGTTAAACAAATTTCCTATTGAACAAACAACATGGAAGTAATCTCTCACCACTCCCGTATTCATTCTCATGAGACATTTTGATTCAGTCGAATCATTAGTAATAATAGGAATCACACGTTAGAAGGTAACACCTCGTTAGTCCTCAGCTCGCACAAGTTTCTCAACTTCTGAGAGTTGTCGTTCGTATGGGGGCGACAGCTGATTAACGGAAAAACAGATTTAATAATTTATACCGCTTTCGTACCTACTGGCTATCTTGTCTCATAATTACCTGTTCAACAATTAGTGATCTTTAATAATCAGTGTCGATATTTGAATATTGTAAATTGAGTGAAGAACCAATTCAACTGAGGAAACCAAAATTGTGGGGAAACGCGTATTGCAAATACAGTATATACTGTGAAAATTTGTGATTATCATCATGAATATGTTTATATTATGTCGAAATATTTCAATCTAACCTCCTTGCAATGAAAAAGGATTTTCTGAAAATCAGCCCTAAACTAATAAATACCCATTTTAATAACACAAATAAACTGAAAAACAATGGATGATTTCACTATAATTTTTTATGGAAAAACTTTCTCGAAACTGTATAGATTGATCTGTCTTCTCTAAATCAACTCGAAAATTCAAAGGAAGTCATCAATTTGACTACTGTCAGTGTATTATATTCTCAGAAAATGTTCCCAAAATAATACTGAAGAGTTTGAGGATACATGAATATTATAAATTAGCCGAATGTTAGAAATCTCAGAAGTATTACATATTTTTTATTTCTTGTTCTCAAAGCTGATGCTCTATTCAACGTTTGCTCCTGAACAATGATACTTTCTTACAAATTTGAAACGATTGAGTTTATAGACTTTTTCAATATCATATCATATTCAAAATTCTCAATTCTTTTCAGGGTTATTCAGTCATCTCATCCAGTGTGCAATACGATCATGCTTTTTGGTATTATCGTCTGTTTAACGGCTGTGTTTATCCTCGGATTGGACGGTAGGTTCGTACACCCTGCTGCTTATCCTGCGTTATGTCAAACTAGAGCCTGGCTCTTATCGACTGGATTCACGTTATCATTCGGAGCGATGTTCAGCAAAGTTTGGAGGGTACACAGGCTCACAACCAAAGCGAAAAGTGATCCAAAAGTGCGGATGGTGAGTATTACAAAATAACTCGGCTTGTAGCAAACCTAAACTAAGGACGGTTCTCTAAAAAAATTCCTCAAACACATACCTTGCTGTCACAAATTGGAGCTTCAACATCCACCGCCAAATGACAAATCGTTTTCTTTTTCTGTCTGTAACTTTGACTAAAGGAACTGAGGTAAAGTGTTAATGATTCAACGCGGGTGCAATGTTGGACTCAACTGATCTTAGAGAACAAACCCAAGTAAAAGTAAGCATCACTTCTTCCAAAGACTTCATCTATGGGATGGGGCCTTGCTAATCCAAAATGGCAGTCTCTCACAAAGCCAAACTTTGACATCGAAAAGATTAGTTACAAACAACTAGAGTAAAACCAGAGCTCAGAAATGAAGCACCCATGATTCAACTCTAGATAGTGGTGTTAGGTCCACTGTTAGGAAAAATCCATGATGTTAGGCTAAATAACAAATTAAATATTTGATTCAGATGTCTTCGAATGACAAATTGATGTAAATGGATTCTGTGCACCAGATCGCTTATTTCTTTGGTTACCAATTAAAGTCTTTACCATGGTCTTTCCTTGTGTTCATTCACATAATCTGAAAGAGATACCTCTTGAGATTCGTCGAAAGGATTGCCACACAACACTTCTATCGGAAGCTTCAGTTCCCTACCAGTTAACAACATGGATGGGGTGCAACCTGTCGCGTTATTATGGGAGTTTCTGTACGCCAACAGAAAAATAGGAACCAATTTATCCCAATCCCTTTGGTTTTTGTAGACAAACATCGAGATGTAGTTATTTATGGTGCGATTATACTTCTCGACCATTCCATCGGACTCCGGGTGAAGAGTGGTTGTTTTTGTTTTCTTTATTTCCAACAAAGTCATCATTTCCTTCCATAAATCCGATTCAAAGTTGCTGCCCTGATCCGAATGTACTGCTTGGGGTACTCCGTGTCTGGCAATTATAACAGGGCTTTCGCCACCGTTTTAGCCTCTTGGTTAGGTAAGGCTACTACTTCAGGCCATTCAGAGAAATAATCCATCACAACCAGGAGGTACCGTTATGTTACCGTTTTACCGTATGAAGTGGTCCAAGAATGACAACTGTTATTCTCACTGAGGTATTGCTCCAACCTCCATCTTTGCCTTATCTTCGGACCCTTTCTCGAAGAGCACAGGTCACAGTGCTTACACCACTTCTCTCGGCAGCAATTAACCCAATAGTACCTCTGTCGCACTCTCTCTAGAGTTCTATTTACTTCAAAATGCCCTCCAATTCTACCATCGTGGAGCTGTTCAAGTTTATTCGGGATACACACCTTAGGAAGGATTATCTGGAATTTGTGGATTCTCCCATCCGGGCTTTCTCATTTCCGAGTGAGAAAGTTATTTCTAATGCACATGGAGTTCAATTAGAGCCAGTAACCCTTTTCCTGATGGCCGTGTTTGAAGATCTCTTACCATTCCTGCCTCACTCCTTAGTCAATCCATTCCGGTGCAATTTTCAAGATCGGATTCTCCTTCTGCGCTACGATGATCTATTGTCTCGTCATAAAGGTAGTGTCATCCTCAAAGGCTGTTAATGACCGTACCACACCATGGTCAGGTGTGGTCAGCAGCGGGAGGTAGGGGAGCTTATCTCCCTATCAAATCTGTCAATGAAAGAGACTCTGCCTGCTACCTTATCACGTCTGGTGGAAACTTCTTCTTCTTCTCCTTCTAGCTTCTTCTCAAACTTCCTTTCGACTCCTTCAGGCTCCTCTTTCAGTTCCCCCTCAAACCCATCAAACTTTTCATTGACTACTTTTCGAATCCTCCTTTCTTTCCTGAAATACTTTTTCAAATTTTTCCTGAATCAATTCCTGTTCATCCCCTTTACTCACTTTGGAGGAAGGTGAAGGTACATCGCATTGTCTTATTCTTGTTTCTCCTGAATATTTACCAATAATTTACTATATTTTTCTCTTTTTCTTTGTTGTTTCTCCAGAATATTTAGTAGTAATTCACGGTCTTTATTTTGGCATGATCGTTCTTCCTCTCTCCTGTGTTCATCTTCCTCTCTTCCGTTTCATTCTCCGCCAGGCTTGCTTGCAAAGCCTCGAACATTTTCTTAAGTTAGTCGTAGTTGACACCCATTGTTTCCACCATATAACAAAAAATATTCAGTCAATTATTCCACTTTTGACACCAAATGTTACGTTTTTTCCCGTGGGTTAACACTGAACAATAATCGAACTCAACTTCATTTCTCTATAATTACAACAAAACACTTTAACTAAAACTACAACTATTATTCAAATATCTATTGCCTTATAAAAACGCTCCGTATGACACTGTCTGCGAAACTTGACTGTCTCGATAGGCCAGTGGATGGCGCTTATATTTGGCAATCGGAGGCGCTGGAAAATTCTTCGGATTTCTATCGAAGCGGCGCGAACATCGAATAGCCGCGAAACATCGGGATCAATATTCTTAAGGCAACGCCACGCCTGGAACGGCCGCTAGCATGTCACAATTGAATTATGGCTACCAGCGGCGGGCGACGTTCCTTTCTTTGGGGCATGATTTACAACAATATCAATAAGTACCTTGCTCACCTCAAGAGTGAGGTGCTTATTCTCTCGGGTGAGGGTTTCCCATAGATGCAGTTTTCTTAGGCAAAAATGCCTGTGCTTTGAGAAAAGTTGAATCCAACATAGTATGCAAATAGAGGTAACTGTTGTGGGATAACGAATGTTATAATTTTGGGCTCAAGTTTCATATACTTCGAGACTGATAGATCATACAAAATTATAGACTGTAAAAATTACTTGCTGTATGAGATTCATTATACATATAAATTGTAAAACTATCAAGTGTTTTGTTCAAATCATAATTTGAATTGACAAATTTTTTCATGGACAACAAATTTGACTACAGTTCTGATGAATAACAATGGTTGCTAACACGTTTTCACAAATTCATGTAACTAGACGTATCAGAATCGAAAAATCAGTCTGTATTCATAGACATTTCTTCTGAATAATTACAGAAACAATATTCCTAATTCAACGGCTTTTTCATCCTCAAATTGGACAATAGGATCTTATTCACTGGATTCACGTTATCATTCGGAGCGATGTTCAACAAAGTCTGGAAGTTACACAGACTTCGTTGATTCATCATTTGCTTCGATACTATTTTTTTATCATTCCTTCAAGAAACAGTAATCTTTCTTCAAGTGTCCTTGGAGTCTAGATTCATTTTCTCAAAATTTTTAATGTGAGTTTTCAATGCTGTACCTGATTGTTCAGAGTAATTCACATTTATTCTATTCAACTGATCCAATAACTTTACTTTGACAAACTCAAGTGTTAATTCATCAATGAGCTGAGAGGTAATACCTTGAAACCGGTCTATATATGATGCACTTGAATAAATTCAACATGGTTTTGCTACTGTATGAACGAGAAACGTCTGCGAGATTTACGTCTATAGGGTATCTTGCATAAATAACTGTCGGATATAATTCAATATCCAGTGTAGTATTAGCCGGGGAAGTAGCACCAGAACCTACTGTGAAAGTAGTTGAGAGAGATTTCATTTTGAAATAATCATTTTTTCATTCGTTCGAATCAGCTTTCCCAGAAGATAATATAGTGTATTGCTGAGATTAGCTCATTCGTGTACTTTCTGTAGGTTCTTCAACAAAGAAGAAATAGTTCTTCAAGCTTTGTCATCTGAACCATTTTATATTTACTCGTCATCAACTTCCTTTTCAACACCTTTGATCACCTCTGTTGGGCAGCATCTTCATTTAGAACTTCCGAAGCTGACAATTGTTATTGTTGAGTTGAGCCACCCCAAACCTGAAGATGATCCATTCTTTGATTTTCCTCCATTTTCAACAATATATACAAAGTGAATATATGGCGCAAATTCTCATTTTCCAACAGTGGCTGTTTGAGTATTCACTATTTCACAACATTTTTATTTGTTTGCCCAGTATCAGTACTACCAAGTCCAGCTACCACACAGCTGTGTCCTGTATTATTATCTGGAGTTAGTGTGTCAGTTGTAATCACCACTGAGACCTACTTCTACAATATTTTTTATTGTCAACGAATATAGTTCCAACTGTAAATAATTTTGATGCTTTCTATGTTTTCATTTCTCTTCTCGTTCTTTGAAGAATCAGCATTTTGTATCGCCCTCTTTGGCACCTCTCCAGAATATTTAAGATCTGAATTATCTATTCAGGATCCCAAACTCTCAGCATCAGTTTGCTTAGTACCAGAATTATTCGGTAACGTCCTTATATTTTTTATTGAAAACGGTGTTTTCTGCTACGATTCCAATACCGAAATTATCGTCATCGTCATTTTTATACTCTTTGCTTCCCATTCCAGTTGTTACTCTTCAACCCGTCCCAATTGAAGAAATCTCTGGAATCGACTAGTGGGATGAATCAAAGTCAAAGATTATTTGTGGAAAATCCTGCTAAAATTATTAATATGTTATTCTTGTGTTTTTAATGTGTTATTATTGGCGTTACTTTGGTATATATAATTCTGTAATATCATTACAGGCTCCTGTCGTCATGTTTTCTTTTGACATGATGATAGGACCAATGATTTCGAGTTGAAATTATCGGTTAATTTTCTTGTGAAAACTCCCGCTCATTTCAGGAGAGCAAATACATCATTTATATATCGGATCAAAGTTCGTGGAAAGGAATCTATGTCATCTCCTGCTTCCTTGTTTAATGAATGCAACGATCATATTCATAGCATCTCCTGAAGATACCAACTTGGTTGGTGGAGCGCCCATCGAGAAAAGGGTTTCAGTTCTGCAATTTAAAAACAGTGGAACCGAAACAAAGTCTTCAAAAAATATATTTTGTTGAAAATTTCAACGAAAATAATGAGAAAATTAGGATATTATTGTTTATTGTGTACTAGTATGTTATGCTAAATGTCTCTCTAGGCTTAGCGAAAGAAAGTGCCTGACAGATGCGATAAATTGAGCCAAACCGAAGTTCCGTTAGACGGAAATTGGAAAGTGGATTTTATGTACTGTGTATCCTGTCAGCAAACGAAAATTAAATATACTTTCCAGGATATACAACCAACAGGATTATCTTGTGGTGGGATCTCGGCTTTGAACTTTCACATTATCTATCCTATTAAATTGAAGCCTGAAGTGGATAGCTAAGTGCAAGTTAATATTTGATTTCGGAACTTTTTGAAATTCGAAAAAGTTTCGTATTGAATTGTCTTCGTGTGAGTTGAATGGGGATGAAGATAATAATAGTAATAATACTGTTTTTCTATGGACAATATATATTTTATACCAATAGACAGTTGGTGAAATAAACTGCTTACATATATCAAAAACACATATATTATTGAAAAAGAGACATATTTACAGTCCATGGAAGTTATATACCACTGTAGTGCATAATCTACTTTATAGTAGATAGTTTATTGAAGACATTAACACATGCCTCACATATGAAGAGTGATGACACCGTCAAAATTCTATGTTTTGAACACATTAGTGGAAAACCCTCTAGGTTTTAAACCTTACGTAAGGTGGAATATCCTTTGTTGTGCAAATGAAACAATAGTCGACCCAGAATACTGTCCCCATAGACCGATGCCTCATCGAAGCCTTGATTCAACGTGGGCTGAATAGAGCCTCAGCAACCGATCACCAGACAAAATTGTTCTCAAATTGAAAAATTGTAAGGCACCTGAATTCAATTTGTTAAACAAAATTCAATAGTCTACTGAAAGAACTTTCCCAACACTAGAACAAAAATTACCGTCTCTCGACTCGCGTTTCGCAACCAAGTTAGCGTCCTCAGGAGATCATTATGATCTCATAATGATCCTGATCCACCACCGAATTTCGTTCGGCGAAGACTTTGGCTTTGTATCTGATCGCCTCGCGAAGCCTTGTTCATCTTCTCTTGATCTCATTGATGACGGGGATCCTCAGTATTTTGAAAAATGTTGGTAGTGTAGGTATCTGAATCTAACCCAGCTTCTAATCTAATTGCGCGTTTTTGAAGCCTGAATATTTTCAAAGAAACAACAGAATTACTTCTTAAACCGTACCATAGCTAATGAAAAGTGGCTTAGTTGTCTGAATAGAAAAATCCTGGCATTCGGTAGATCTATATGAGAAGCCCAAATGGGAATATAATCTTTAACAACCCCCAGCAGTTTATTGTGATTACCTAGCGTGATCTGAAAACTAGAAGATTATGTTATTAATTTTTTGGTTCATTAAAAGATTATCGGCTGAAAACTAAGCTTCTGCTTCAGGCAACAGTATCATTAAGAAGCCAAAAAATGTTGCTGCTAGAACTAATGAAAATAGTATCATTCGCAAATAGAACCACTCGATCAAATTATCATATGAAAACATTGGTTATTAACATATATGATGAATGATAGTGGTCTTAGAACTGAACCCTGCAGTACTCCACGATTTATGATTTTCAGATCTGATTCAGATCTGTTTTTCTGATAGACGAACTATTGTGTACCTTCTAGACACAACAAGAGCATTTTTCTAATATAACTTCTTTGCCACACATTATTAGTTTGAGCATTTGCTGTAGATTATGTCACACGGAAGCTGAATCGGTCGGAGTGTGATAGTTTGAATCTTCCAAAATATCGTAAAGTCTTTTGGAAAAAAATTCAATTATCTTGGAAATACATAACAATAGTTCATATTGGCCCATAGTTGAGAAGCTCTTCAAGATAGTAGAGGAGACCGTGTGAGATTGGCCTTCACGAGTCGAGTCGAGTCGAGTCGAGTCAAGTCAAGTCAAGTCAAGTCAAGTCAAGTCAAGTCAAGTCAAGTCAAGTCAAGTCAAGTCAAGTCAAGTCAAGTCAAGTCAAGTCGAATCAAATCAAATAAAATCAAATCCAACCAAATCATATCAAATGTATTTCATTTTTTCAGTACAATAAGTGAACTAAGTCATAAACATATGTCAAAACCATTGCATCAGCAGCAGTCGTCACTGGCTAACAGAAGAGGTCCATTCCTGCTCCTGCTTCATTTCCAAAATCGTCCGAAAATTGAACAGAAAATAATAAAATACGCCAACATTTATATGGGATACCACATTATAAAATATTCGTTCCAGAAACGAATATGGAAGCAATAAATCAGAAGAAGAGATTTTTCATGAATTCTTGAATCAAAATACAATCGTGCAAACTTTCATACAATGGTACAAACGATCTTTCATTGCCGCCCTCACATGATTGAGAATCTTGGGAGTTATTTCTCTGCAATGATTCATAATATTCTCCCTCAAATCTTCTTATTTTATTGATTCTATTTCATACACTTCAGACTTCAAATGACTCCATAGAAGGAAATATTGAGAAGTGAGATCTGGCTACCTTGGTAGCCATTCTGTAGGACCTCTTCTGTCAATTCAGCGACCAGGAAAATGATCATCCAAAAATTGTCGCAATGGAGCTGCATAATGAGGAGGTGCACCATCCTGCTGAAAAACTATTTCGTTTTCGAATAATTTTATATCCTCCTCATTTACCCTATTGATGCACGGTATTATTAGAGTCTCCAATATATCCAAATATTTATCATTAGTCAAATTATCATCGATAAAAAAGGTCACCTAAGTTCACCTAAAATTACTGCCTAAGCATTCAGTTTTTGAGGTCGGTATGACGGTATGAATGAGGATTCGCATTACTCTAATATCAACAATTTTGCCGATTCATCTCTCTATTCAAACTAAACATACGTTCATCTGAAAAACAAATTTTATATATGAAATTCTGATGCAAGTTGATCCGTTCAAGGAGACTTTCAAAAAACTCGATACGTCTATCGAAATCATATTCGTTCAATTCATGAACTAGTATAATCTTATATGGATGAAATGTGTACATAAGAAAGATCCCAAAAACATTTGTATGACTATATCTTAGAAAAACATTACAAAAATTCATATGGACCCATAGTTGTGAAGCTCTTCAAGATAGTAGAGGAAACCGTTGAAAACCGACCTTCACCCATGAGATAACTTGATAAGACATATTTTTTATCAAATATTAACAAACATGACTATGGTAACATGCCTGTCGGAAAGTGGTCATAGCTATTTTTGATTGAATCGAGTCGAGTCAAATCAAATCAAATCGAATCAAATCAAACCAAACCAAACCAAATCAAATCAAAATAATTTCAATTTTTCAGTACAATAAGTGAACTTAGTCATAAACATGTGTCAAAACCATTGCATCAGCAGCAGTCGGCACTGGCTAAGAAAAAAAGTCCATTCTTGCACCTACTCCATTTCCAAAATCATCCAAAAATTGAACGAAATGAGCGTTGAAGTCCTGGCTCACTCATCATACTCCCCTCGCCATCTACCAGCGTTTTAAAAACGTTGTTAAGTACCAGCCATCTACCAGCTTTTCAAAAACGTCGATAACTTTTTCACTGGTAGAACCTTCGTTAATCAGGACCAAGCTAAAATGGCCTTCGTCGACTTTATCGAATTCCGAGCACCCAATTTCTATACTGACGGAATCAATCGACAACGGTGTTACGTTGAGAAATGTACACTAATTCAAGTGGCGTTTATTCCGAATGAATTGAATGTGAACTTACATGAAAGTTGATGACCTATTCTATTTTTCAACAAGATTATTTCCAACTGTCTTGAAAATCACCTATATAAGCATGTATTTATTTTTCAGAAAAAGGTACAACCCTGGAAACTATACTCGATGGTATCGGGGCTGCTGGCTGTAGACTTCATTATCATGTTAGCCTGGCAGCTGCTGGATCCTCTTCAGCGACGCATAGAGTTGTTTCCTTTGGAGGCTCCCCTTTCGTCATTGGACGATGCCATGATAAGGCCGGAACTGGAACACTGCGAGAGCCGCAACAATAACGTGTGGCTGTCTCTGATGTACGCTTACAAAGGCCTAGTTTTGGTAAGTGAATGAATGGGAGATGGAACTATTCATGTGTAGTCCAGTCAAAACAAGTGAAAAAAGAAACGAAATATTTCGCGGAGAGCTGGAAATCAATGCAGGTCTTGAATTCACAGTTATGAAGAAAATATCAAAAGTCTCTTTCAATTCCATGGGTGCTGAAAATATTATTGAAAGTCAAAGGTCCGGCTATTTTTCATTCACTTTCCCTTCAAGATTGTCTGTTGAAGTAAAAATAGGTAGGATTGAAGTTGTAGATAACGAGATTGTCTATAACATAAAGTGTTTTCATACTTCTTTCCTAAGATACACGATTTCTGATATGTCATCATTTCAATGCAAAAATAGTAATATGCAGAACGTACATCATATACTGATGTCATTGGTCGCTATAACTTTGAATAACATCCATCGATTCTTCTGTATATTGTGTTTTGTGGAATCGAGAAGAACCATTTGACGTTATTTCCAATAATAATAATGTTATTATCAGTTATAATTTTGAATATAATTATTTTATTTACATTATCAATAATATTATCATTATAATATCATCATTATTGTAGTTCTTCTCGAAAAACAGAGCAAGACGATATTTATCGTTGAGTTTTCAGCTCCTAGTGAGACGAATATCGCACTAAAAGAGAAGGAAAACAGAGAAAGTATCAATATTTTTCCTTTGAACTCTGAAAACCCTATCCAGATCACTCTGTTAAGATGGTTGTTCTGATTATTGAAGTCCTTGGTAGAATAATGCCCTCACTCTCTAAGAAGGCAGAAATCTTGGCCAAGCAAACACAGAGTGCTGTAATTCTTGGTTCATTGCGCCTGTTCATGGTAGATGATTCTTAGACCCAATGATCACTTACATCACAATGTAAGGACTGGTCATTAGTTAATGTTGCTAGCGTATCTTCCCGAATGTGTTGGAGCTTCGGGAACAGAGACCGACCAGTTCACCCTTCGGAAAAAATAATAATATTTATGATAATGATTTTGATGATGAGATTAACTTTCAAGACGAGTAGCTAGGGAAAGAAGGTCAATCATGGCAGAGCCCCGCATTACCGTGACAAGGCGATGCTACGACGACAGGGCGCCCGGTATCTCGACAGCTGATAGGCTCAGTGTCATTCATCCTCCCGGCACGGATACACACATCAAGCCATCGTTAGAATGCCATTCAGCTGGGGGATAACAGAACCACCAGTGATTCTGTCATTCCCGTATCCAGCGGGGCTACATGGAAGTAGGCATCCGATGGCCGGTTTGCTCAACCCTCACATCCCAGAGTGAACCTGAAAATTATTTCTGACGCTAGTCTACAGAGGACAAGGATGTCGAGCTTACGACTTTAACTGACCTTCCTGTGTATTTAAATCAGGAACGAGTCTACAGAGGAAATGGATGTCGAGCTTACGACTCCAACTGACCTCCCTGTAAATTTAGATCAGGAGCGAGAGCTTCTCAACTCTCCAACTCCTGATCCGAAAACTGAACCTAAATAAAAAGGTTTGGTGGTGCAGCCAAGAAACGACTGAGTCGACTCCTCCTTATGAAACCGCCTTGCACCAAATTCTTGAGCGGCTTACGCAGAATCTGTCTCAAGTGGAGGAACAAACATTCCATGAGCCGGTTGGCAAACGCTTGTGCTCAAGTGATGATTTACCAAAACCAGAGGTGAAAAAGCCCTGCGCGGTTGAATCTAAGGCATCGTCAGGTGTAGCTGACGTGCAAAAACCCTCATACGAGAAGGTTGTTGCGGGTATCAAGGCGGAAATTTTGCACCTTCACTATCCGACTACCTCATTAATAATGAAACTGCAGAGCATATACTTTGTGCCTGCCCCGCTCGAGACCAAATCAGGTTTTTAGAGTTCGGCAGAGCAGTACTCTTGCCATCTGACCTGAAAGAGCACTCACCATACAAACTAACCGGCTTTGTTAAGAAGCTGGGTTCATTTAGTGGAGTGTGAGCCACAATAAATCCTTGTGGGTTGCGGTGAAGGGTGGAATAGACACAGTCATTTTGGACCTAACCTAACTTACAAGACAACATTGAAGGCCTCGTCAAAAAACCTTACGTTTACTTTTATTAGGTCGAGTGGGCTGAAGTTAGAAACTGAGGGGTTCATCATGTCCTATTTGGATGGTATCCTCAACGCTTCAATATACGGTAGTCGTGTGATGGTATAGAGATTCCAGAAGCCATATGCCAGGCCTGCCGCGAAGCGCCTGATACCCTAATGCACTTGCTGTCGGCATGTTCGGCATATGTGGTCTCAGAATATATCCATCGGCATTACGCGGTCTGAGGGTGCTTAATCACCATCTAAGTCACGTTTACGGTATTGACGAGACATTGAACGTTGAACTATGCTCCTTAGGATATTAGAACTATTCCTTTCCCATTCTCATACAATCAAATGAGTCTAATGTAGTTATTTGTGACCACCAGTGCAAGACTTTTTGGAAACTAGTGGGGTGTTTGCGTAACAGAATCTAACTCTCAGAGATGAAACAATGGAAACATCTCAAATGTCCATCGGTTAGGCTGATAAAAAAATGGATAAATCAACGACTTTTAACTTTGCACCATGTGACTTTGTTCACTTCGATAAAGAGCACTGGTGATGTTGGTATTATAAATTCATTGATAGAATTTCTTGATGGATCATCGCGACCAATGTGGAGACTGAGGACAGTGGTGAAATTTCAGATTTGAATTATTGACTAGTTTTCCATTTACTTCGAATATAATTAATGATGAATTTCATTAGTTCGGACTTCCATTGTCTGATATTATATAAAATGATTTGAAATATCTGAAATACCTAAAAAAGAAAAATTAAAAATTGAAGTAAATATCAGAACCTGCTTCAGATCCGGAAACACTATTCGTAGCAGCCTCACGAAAACGAGGCCACAAAACGCGGACTGCGATTCCAAGAATTGCATTTGCCGGATACCCTCTGAATGCGAAAAATCCTATATCGGTGAAACTGAGAGGCCATTAAATGTTCGCATTGCCGAGCACAAGAAACACACACAGCGAGGGGAAACCAGCAAATCAGGAATAGCAGAGCATGTTTGGACCCATCAACATAATATCGAATGGTCCCAAGCTGAGACCATTCACAAAGAGGAACATTGGTTTAGGAGGAAATTTAAAGAAGCCGCATACATTTTATCCAACAATGTATCTAGCCAAACTAGCGAAGAGATACACAACATATGGAAACCCATAATCAAGCGGAAAATGGCCAACTCTCGCCAAACGGTCATCCCTCGTTAAACCAGTGAAGCGGAGAAAGGAAAGCAAAGATGAGTGAAAGTACTCAAATGACCTATAAATAGTCAGCTCACGGAGGAATCAGCCCAGTCATCACCCGAAGACGATTGTGGATACTAACAATCGAAGCATCGTGAAGTAACTTGACTAGGAATCTCTCAACTTTTTTAATTTTATTTTTATTTTTTGTTCAATTTTTACTTGTATTTCATTTCACTATTATTTCATTTCAGGTTTTTTTTATCAATATAATTGTTTTTTCAGCTATTCATTTTTATTCTTCTTCTTTAATTTTCAATTCTTCTTTTTTAGTTTTTTCAGGGATTTCAAATCATTTTATATATCAGGAAGTCCGAACTAATGAAATTCATCATGAAACATTGTCAATCACCTTCGAACAAACATTCCATTACCTATTAGGAAAGTAGCAGCAAAATTAATTGATTGGATAGATATACAGTGTGTCCAAGATAAGGATCCTAAGCATGGGAATCTCAGTACCTGTTGGAGATACAGCTTAGGTTAGATTAGGAAAAAGTTGTGTTCTTTAAAGCTTATTTACATGCCGTTTAGAAACTTGAAGAATTTTCATGGCCTGCTGAGATATTTGGGAAAAACGAGAATTTGACAATATCAATTTTATTTTTTTCTGACTTTATTTGAAAAGATATCAAAAAACGAATAACACTTTTTCATTGGCACTTTTAAGGTACTACACGTTGGTATTTTTAGATTTTATATTCGACGTTTCGTTTTCAAGAAACCATCATCAACTTTATTTTTTTTATATGACCCGAAACAAAAGTACACCCTGTATCTGATTTCATTTTTTATTACAAATTCAACGATGTATCACATGCCATTGTTTTCTTTTTAGTTTAAAGGAAAATNTGATATTGTCAAATTCTCGTTTTTCCCAAATATCTCAGCAGGCCATGAAAATTCTTCAAGTTTCTAAACGGCATGTAAATAAGCTTTAAAGAACACAACTTTTTCCTAATTTAACATAAGCTATATCTCCAACAGGTACTGAGATTCCCATGCTTAGGATCCTTATCTTGGACACACTGTATACTGATATGAACATCAGATGTTTTATGGTTCAAAAAAATGTTTTCAAATTATTTTTTTTGAGGTTGAATTAATCACACCACAAATTGGTTCCTATTCTCTTTAACAACCTTGCTATTGAAGTCATCAAATGAAATCAAACGTGAACATCCCCATAAACCCAAAGGTATTAACTATCAGTAACGTACACTGCATGTATTCTGTCGGGTTGCGTCCAAGATACCCATTAATTTTAAGTGGGCCCACTATTAGTTCTCTTAGTGAGTGCTTTGCTACGATTAGGACGAGATAAGGTCACGAGTGGCTATAACTCGAAGGAAGATCTGAGAAGAGAGTATAAAAGGCAATTCCAAATTTAGTTTGGAGAGACCATTCCGAGGAATCTTGGGAATAACAAGACTTTCAATTTATTCGGTGGGCCTCACACTATAGATGTTGTTTGTAAAACGGTTTCCACTTGGTTTTTTGTTATTTGTGAGGATTCACATCACTTAACTCTCGCGATAACTTTCAAAATCACCGGGTAAATCAGTCAAATTTCAAGTTCACTCCAGAGGAGCAAACTTACATGCTTTGCATAAAGCAAATTGACATAATGCTTATAAAATTTATTCTGCTGATTTGACTGATGAATTATTGTTTGAGGAAATATTCAGCATTTTTGAAAAACATATACCATATTCATGGTATCAACTCTCTGTTCTGAACGAGTTGTTCCTGCAAAGGATTTGATTTATAGCCAGTCTTCAAGTATACCCACTGACTATATGTCAGTTTTTTCCTTATACGAGGAATTGGGCAAATTTCGGATATGCAAACCTGTCGTTTGTTGTCCGCTTCAGCCTAGTTCGAGAAATGATACTCTGAAGGAATTCGATTTTCAATTATCAGATGATAGACACTACTTTGCACTGAAGAGTGGCCAAACAGCTCGAAACTGCTCTGCAAGTGTGTTTCAATAATTGACGCCTGTCGAACATATCCCAAATGCCTTCGTGGTATTAGCCAGGGGAGTAGTTGTTTTCTGATAGGTGTCAGTACATTAACCTACAGTGTAGGAAGTTGATACTGGCCTGAACGAATTGTTCCTTCAAATGATTTGAAAAAAATATTTTTCTTGCTGTTAGAATCGCAAAACTCGAATTCCTGAAACCAGACTATTTTCCTAAAAGTGTTACTGGAAAACTAAGAAAAATTGGAAAAAAAATGAATTTAGTATTGGGAAAGTTACAACTTCTCGTTTATTATTCAGAATGAATGTTCCTTTTGAATTTCCCTGGAAGAGAGAAATATCCTTTCTTCAGTTGTATTGATTTATTTTTTTTGAGATCTAGAAATTAATTCAGATTTTTGCTAATATACGCACACAAAAAAGTAGAGTAAAATCGACTCTATTGAAGCGTTGAATTCAAACACACATATATTCGTTGTAATATCTATGGTATCATCCCATCTGTCGACAGTGTAATAACGTACAAAAATTAAAAAAGTCTGCATTGTGGAATCTGATTTCTTAACCAAGAACTGAATTTTAATCTCAGCTAAAATCTTTTTCACTTACTATTCTATTCTCGATAGATTGACAAAAAGTCTGTAATTTGTCTTAACTACATCCTACTCTACGAGAATGGTATTTTTCTCAATCTGAGAGAAAATGAAAGTCCGAAGTTTCAAATATAAAATAAAATGAGTGAAACAACTACTCCATGGACAGAATAATAAAAAAAACAACAAACAACGTGTAACGTCTCATATAAAAAGAAAATGTTGAATTTCATAAAATAAAAAATAGAACAAATTTGACCATACTATTCACTATTAATTTAACCTGTTGAACAACTACAAACGCACCAACTCGGTACAAAATATTTCAGTTTTACTTTACTTTAGGGAGAGTGGTGTATAAATTCAAATTTTCGCCCTTTTTTGTAATTGTATTATGAACTCTAGCTAAACAATCAGCACTAGGAACCCAACAATATATAACCTCTTTGCAAATAGGAAGTGGACTCAGACAAAATGATATATGAACTCTCTTTCTCAATATCAACTGGTTAGTAAAAAACAAAATAAACACTCACATAACGCCTCTTTGGGTGGTTCATGGTCAACCATAGGTTCAGTTAACCCGGGGTGTCTTCAACACTAACACTTTTATTTCAAGCTCCCTGGTATCCATTACCGGTTCATGATTTCACTACCGAATTTTTTTAAAATGCGCACCACGCGCTCAAACAAAATAACTCCCCTATTCAGGCCACCTTCCTCAGCCTCGAAGGCTGAGGGATGGGACCCCCGATCTAGTCTCGACGGGCTCCGGTGACCGACTTTCCGCAACTCTTTTCCGCAACTATCCCCCAATTAACTTTCGCGACTCTCTTTCGCCAAGGACTCTTTTCGCAACTCTTCTATCGCAAAATCGCTTTTCGCGACCCTCTTCCACAACTGATATTCGCGACCGTTTCGCGACCGTCTTCCGCAACTGTCCGATGACTACTCTCACAATTAACCGAATCCTCAGTATTCCCAAGTCCGTAAAACTGTCCCTAACACTCCTCCCTTATACCGTCCCCTAATTGGTCTGATATCTGGTTAATATTCCCGAATTTTTCCATAACTCTTCCTACTCATGACCTATATCGTCTTTTCATCGGAGTTATTGGTCAGTTTTTATTTTAAATAAATTTTCGGGCCTACCTTTTCAGATATGGCCGAACTTTTTCTCCACGGAGCTGACATGCAAACTCGTAACTTACATTTTCACGTTCCCAGTATTATAACTTATCAACGTTTACGTTTGTTTAGTCTAGCCGAACGCAACATAATCTTCATGATGCCGATAAGGTTTAACAATCATAAATTAAATTCAACGCTTACTCTGTTGGAAAAGTACTGATACCGAAAAACCAAGTGATCGACCCCGATCTTTATGAATAAAATGATATTTTTTTTAACTATCGCAATGGCAGTTATTACATCGTTAATCGGTATCAACAAGTACCATGATGTAAGTATCAATCATCATCTCCCAAGTAATACTAATAGGGTATTCAAAACACACACTCCAATGTGGGATTTTCATATGGAATTTGAAAAACCACGTCACAATATTGCAACGAACCGTATTGTGACGCCCGAAGATGCTGTCGTATAGCGAAACACGTGTCGCGGTTTTCTAAACTTCCAAGTCATAATCTCACTTTGATATGTGTTTTTTGAATACGTTTTAACAGATTGTCATCAAAACTCGGTCAGTTCTATCATATTAATAATAATAAGCGTAATTCCTAATATCGGCTGCAGCAAAACGCGAGTCTAGTAAGACATAACTCCATTGACAACATCAGGAGTAGTACTACTGTACTAAATGTACATGGATATAAACGAGTTATATTTTAAAAACTTGTAAATCGTTTCAGTTTTATAAAATAGTCCTCCCGCCTCACTATTCATTTAGGATGTCAAACTGAAACGATTTTTCATTGTGTAGTTTCAGATATATGATCTGGTAAACATTGATGAGACCACTTTTTGAGTAAGTTTGAGTCGACTCATTTTGTTAAAGAATAATGTGGAATAATTTTTGACAATATGATTATTCATTTGCCTCCATAACGACGATAATAATTGACAACCATGAAGATAAAAAACCTCCGTCGTCGATTCTGATTATTTTATTTTATTGAAAATAATAAAAATGAAATAAATATCATTATTATCATAACAATGATCTGTTTAAAATCTGTTTAAAATCTGTTTTTCCGTTAACCAGCTGTCGCACCCCTACGAACGACAACCCTCAGAAGTCGAAACTTGTGCGAGCTAAGGATTAACGAGGTCTTACCTTTTAACGTGTGATTCCTAACACACACTGTAGATAGACACATGGATATTGATATTTTCGTTTCAGATATTTGGCCTGTTTCTTGCCTACGAAACAAGATCTCTGAAAGTGAAACAAATAAATGATTCAAGGTACGTGGGAATGAGTATTTACAACGTTGTGATACTGTGCCTCATTACTGCCCCGGTGACTATGGTGATTGCCAGCCAACAAGACGCGAGTTACGCCTTCGTCGCACTTGCGATCGTTTTTTGCTGTTTTCTCAGTATGGCTCTCATTTTCGTGCCTAAAGTAAGTATGACGCGTCTCTAACGAAATATTTTGAAAGAAGTTACAAATGTGACACAATTTTAAGAAGGAAACATGTCTTTATTTCAATTTGAAGAATTTTTTACATATTAGCTGAATAATAAATAAGCAAAACAAATCAATTGTTCATCGATGTATGGGATACCTACATATGATTTACACAAAAAACTGCACCATATGGCTAATTATTGACTTTTCAAAAATGTGTAACTCGTATAAGTTGGTGCATTGAGTAGGTACAACTCAAAATGCAACAGTAAAATTTCATATTTTACTTTCTTTCATAGGGTACCTTTGAAAGTACCGAAAATTTCCTCTAAGAATATCAAAAATGTACCACAAATTTGCATCTGAAACCATTTCCACAAATAAAAGCTAAAATTGAATTCTCTGGCGTAGAATCCAAAACAAGTACTTCCCGCAATCACCAAACATTCAATACTCTTGCATGTCTGATAATTTGGAAAAGTTCTTTTCTTGCATCTACACTGAGAAAAATATTTTTCTTATTTCTCTTCTCTGAAGAGACTGCTTGTCAAATCTAGGAAACGACTTCAAAGTCTCGGCACAGGACCTTCCCTAAGAAGCGCGTGGTATAAAACCCTTAAAGACGATCGGAGCTCAGTCTCAACGACAATCCTGTAGTGTCCACTTCGCTGAAGTATAGAACTCGACTAATGTCTGCGCTCTAAGAAAATGACATTCGAATCTAAATAGCTCGTGAAATGGAAAAAATTGAAAATGGTGAGTCATCCCCTTTTTTTCAACGCCTAATAAAAAAGTAAAGAAAAAGCATCGAAATCGGATTTTGATAAGTTTGACAACGGTCTTCTCCGTCGATATATAATCAATTCTTACATTATTCAGAAAAAATTTCCACCTTACGCCGCATACATCAAGGGTTCAGATGGGGGAAAAACGAAAAAATTGAAAATTACTCATAGAAAACTGGCGATTCGGCAGCTGCGAAAAAATTTTCCCAAAGACACGAAGAAATACCGTGAGGAAGGTCGAACAATAATTTATATGCATGATACATATCCATGCTTCACATACAAATGAGACGAGTTGGAATGACGATTCGAATGAAGGATTGCTTGCAATAATTTCAAAAGGGCAGAGACTCATAATTGTGAATGTGAATTGTGAAAAATTGATATCAAAATTTAAATCCAACACAAAATCAAGCGACTATCATAGCAAAATGAATTATGACAATTACAAAAAGTGGTTGCAAGAAATGTTAATTCCCAGAAAAGAGCATTTTGTCTATCAACCACAATTCAAGTTGTATGAAATTGATAGGATTATGGAAAATAATGGAATTACTTTACTCAGGTTGCCTCCTTATTATCCAGATTTGAATTCAATAGAATTAGTATGTGCATCACTGAAACAATAAGCTTACTCTTGATTTCTCAATAAACAAAATTATTAGAAATGTTCCAGGCGATATTGACAACGATAGTACCAGTGATGATAGTGATAACTCTACAAGCGATTACGGTCTGTCTGGAGTTGGTCCTTTGTAATTTTTTTATTATAACTTGAATAATATTTTTGTTTGGATTCATTCATATTAGTAAATATAATGTTTCCGATTTCTTTTTCATACTAGGTCATTCTACCTTTCCTTAATAAACCCAAAATTGAATGCAATACAGACTGCTGAAAAACAAACTCATTAAAATTCAGTTACGTAAACACCGCATTATCATACTCAACTAATAATTGATCGTTAATTGAAAAACCATCAACCCTTATTGCTACTTGCGGCGAGGACTGTACTCTCAGGCCATTCTGAAACCCGAATAGGCGCACCAAGTCGCACGGTAGATTCCATCTTCTTCTATCCTAATGCGTTTTCTGTCAGTAACGTACAAAGGTGGTGATATGTTACATGTCGCTTCCGAAATTTGACAAGCTGTCTGTCTGATACATATACAAAAATGAAACAAATGACACTGAAAATAATTTCCTGACTATTCCTGGAGAATCCATTTCAGCAGAACTGATACGAGTATGTACAGTAAGACTTATCTCTTTGCCAATCTTTCACATAATCAATAGGGCGATTTCCAATGAATGACTTGTCATGTATTATTGTTTCGTGAAAATAACTGGAAAAATCGATTTATAGTACATATACATATAAGTAGGTATTTCCTGAATATGTTTTCTTTTAGGTAATCGAAGTCATGAAACACCCTAGGGATAAGGCTGAGAGTAAATATAATCCAGATGTTGGTGTTTCTAAAGAAGACGAAGAGAGATATCAGAAACTGCTGAGTGAAAATGAAGATCTGCTTCGGCTGATAGCGCAGGTAATATTAAGTAATTTTTATGCAATTAAATTGGTACCTACAACATTTTCTGTGCATACACCGATATGTAGGGAAGATATTCACGTAATATCATCGACCATAGTTTTTATCGAGCTTCTCTAAGTATTCCTACCATACACAAAGGAAGTGGATAATAACTTAGATTTCCTTCACAAAAAACTAATTTCGTTTCAATATCATCAGTATCATCTGAATTCTTTGATACTTTTCCGACAGATTCAGATAGATCTATCTCATCTGAGTTATGTAAAATTGTAAAATTTCAAATTTTCTCATTATCACTATTTTAAGAACAGTTGTCCACGACGGAAAACTAGACATATCAAAAAGTATTTGTAAACATACGTTTTTGAACTGAACATTTTCTACATTATCAATAATTTTTCGGTGGCAAAATCTAACTCAATGAAGTCGACATGACAAAATCATCAAATAATATTCTTTTTACTGATACCATAGAGAAAATTCAAAACGATATGTCTGTATACTATAGCGAAAAAGAAAACTATTTCAGCACACTCAACTCACATGCAAATCCAACATGGTGAAATAAGGCGAAAAACAAATGGTTTTCGTTGAAAATGAATGAAAAACTTTCTGACAACCGTGTAATAATAGTAATGTTGTGAATCATGCCCTAACGAAAATAACGCCGGCCGCCACTGGTGGCCATAAACCAATTGTGACGTAGCTAAGAGCACGCGAATGTCAGATGTCCGCATCGCTCTAGATGTAGCGAGAACAATGCTACCGATTTCAATGGAATTCCGACGAATTTTTTACCGCATTCCATTATGCTAGCCACAAGCATATCGACACAGTCAAGTGGAAGTTACAGTGAGATACGCGAAGCGATCTAGTGAGGCGATGGACATTCGAATAATAGTTGAAGTTTCAGTTGTGTTTTAGAAGTGTTTGTTGTATTTAAAGTGAAATAAAGTCAAGTTGGATTATCGTTCAGTGTGAATCCATGTGGTGAATCCACCGGGAAAATGTAACATTTGGTGTCGGAAGTGAAATAATTGACTGAAATTTTTCTGTTTTATGGTGAAAACACGGAACAAGGAGTGTCAATTACAAAAGAATGGAAAAGCTTAAGAAAATGTCCGAGGCTTTGCAAGCTAGCCTGGCGGAGAATGAAAAACGAAGATGAGATGAAGATGAACGCAAAAAAGAGAGGAAAATGAACGCAAAAGAGAGGAAGATGAACGAAGAAGAGAGAAAGAACAATTACGCCGAAATGAAGATCGTGAATTACTAGTAGGTATTCAAGAAAAGCAGGAAAAGGACAATCAGATGTACCGTCATTTATTGGAAGATTTAAAATCTTCCCAAGTGAGCAGTACAAGTACAGGAATATATTCAGGAAAAATTTGGAATACTATTTCAGGAAACAAAGGAGGGATTGGAGAAACTAGTCGGTGAGAAACTTGAAGAAGTCGACAAAAAGTTTAATGGAATGGACAAAAAGCTTGGAGAAATTTTTCGGGAACTTCGGATAGAATTACCGGAACCGAAAAGGATTACTGTGGAAAAATACAAATCGAAAACAACATCTTCTTCTTCTAGCAGTAGTTTTATTAAAACTCCAACTTTCCATGGCGAATCTTCATAGTCAATTTATCGCAGACAATTTGAGGCCGATGCGGAAAATAATGTGTGGAGAAATGAGGAGAAACTAACAGCTCTACGAGAAACGGCCTTCGAAAGTCTGCAAAATATTTCAGTGAATAGGCAGAAGGATTATGAAGCAGTCGTATCAGGTTTAGAAATCAAATATGGTAGCAAGCACCTTGAACAAGTTTACTAAGCTCAACTGAAAGTGAGAACTCAAGTCGAAAGGTTAGTAAGACTCGCCTACCCAGAAGCACCGGATAACTTCACCCACTGGATTAGTGTCCATAGTTTCATCGACGGGGTTCGTGATACGGAGCTGCATCAGTCATTGAGGATGGCACGTCTTAAAAAATTAAATGAAGCCATCATTTATGCCTTAGAATTTCAAGCTGCCAAAAATGATTCGCGACAACAACGAAAAGTTCTGGTGAGGGCCATCAATGAAAAGGAAGACGAAGGAACAGATCTAGAAGAACTCTTCAAGAAATAGTCTAATTGAGGAATGAGAAAATGTCAGTCAAATATGTAACTTTCTGAAGCCAGATTTCAACTTCAAACCTGGACTTGAGATCAAAATTACTATCCTTCAATAAAAAATATATTCCATGACGAAGTTTAATAAATCGAGCTAATATCCTGCCTCTTGATAACCAGCGCATTTTGCAGTGTAGTAACGAAACATATTCAAATATCATCTAGTTGAGTGAACGTGCTTTAATGCGATTCATTATATTAACGATTTCAGACAAAATTGTTTTCAAATTGTCAGGCATTTTCTTGCAAGCCAGTGTTTCTCTGTGCAATACGCAATGGGTACTTTTGGCTTCAGCAGCAACATGTTCAACCCTAGCAATCAGTCCACATAGTCTTCCTGTTATGGCCTTGGCACCATCAGTCAGAATACCAACACAAGTTTTCCAACCAATGCCATATTCTTCAAAATAATCATTGATGAGGTTGAAAATATATTATTTCTTTGTTGTAGACTACAAAGTCTTGCAAAATGAAATATCTTTCCAAAAAATATTTTTATACACATATCTTACAAATACAAGCTGCCCAGTGTTACGCATAACTCACTTTGGAAACCCTGGTCTAGATTATTCAGGTCACTTATTTTCATTTTGATTTCGGGGATTCCCAATATTACTTTTTCGCTGTATGAATAATGAACATATTTATCAGGATATTAGAAAATAAACATTGATAATCAAATTTTTCGTAGTTGTATATATTTTTATTCCATATTTAGAGGTAATAACAAACCACTTTGTGGAATTGAAACAAAAGCAAATGGAAAGAATGCTTCATCTCAGCAAAATTTCGAAATGATTTTCGAAGATATTTCGAATTGTCCAGTAATAAATTCTTCAGTCAAAACCCTTGGGCTTAATGGGTTGAAAAATATTGGCAACATCTGTTTCATGAACAGCGTAATCCAATGTTTATCAAACACGAGAAGGTTATTGGAATGAAAAAGGATGAATTTATGAGAGATCAATACTAGTATTTCTAGTATGGAGGGGGATTTAATCAGAGCGTTTGCAGAAGTCACCAAGGAATTGTGGTCAGAAGATTCATTTGATATAGTAGTAAATACAGTCTTCAAAGTTTTGCTCCTCGATTCATTGGTGATGCCCATAAAGACACCCAGGAGTTCCTTCGTTATCTTTTAGAAGGTCAACATGAAGACGTTAATAGAAATTATGAGAAAGCTAGACGGATCTTAATGGAAATTGACGAAAAATTCATGGCTTACATATTTGTGGATGCATAACTCTGAAATTGTAGATAATTTCGTTGGTCAATTGAAATCCACAATGAAGTGCACACAATGTGGACACTCATCAGTAACCTTCGATCCTTTCTGTCTCTCTACATACTACAGATAACTGATTCATGGAGTTTGTGGCCATGCTTGGATTCGTTCCCACGAGAAGAAACTTTGGATGGGAATGAAAAACCGACGTATTTGAAAGGCAAGGAAAGGAGAAAATGCACAAAGTCCCTAACAATCCACAAATGTGGCTAGTTGTTATAATTGATATTCACTTTTAAATCACAGTGGGACTACTTACAGCGAGCATCACACAGCATACTGCACACAACCGTATACGTCCTCTTTTATGAAAATGATGGAACGAAGTTGCACCTTTGAGATAACTGAGTAAAAGTTTTTTCATGCTCCTGTACCAATATATTTGATATTTATATTCAAATATATGTTTTTTTATTTGACTACCTGATGAGATTTGAATTTATATTTTAGCTTTTAGCTTTATCAGAAATACTTATGTTTGGAATAGTCTTATGTAAACTGAATCGAGTTTCCAAATTAGTACTGAGTTTCTAATAATTTCATCGGAATTTCTGAAATTTCATAAGAGAATTAAAGTTTGAGGACTCATGAATTTCATCTTCTAACCCAAAATTTAGATGAATTCACTTTTTTCCACATATTCTTTCTTGTCTATAGCAGATCCTATTCAGGATTTGTTTTTTGTTATTCACTTTCATCATTATTACCAAATTATTGTTACCGAAGTCAATATGAAAAGTTTTGTTTTTATAGTTATAAGTCAATAACAAAAAATATTGAAAGATGTCTGAATCATTACTGTGGTCAACAAATTTGTGGCAAATGTTTGTCATTTTATGTATTTGCGATATCAAAACAGCAAACTGAAAATAGAAATTGAATTTCTAGGTATAATTATATGTCGAATATCGCTACCTCGACTATAAAGTCATGTTTAAGTCGGTAAGAATAACTTTGCTCCAACTAAATAACATAAACTTCTTCTGACTTGAACGTTGATTTTTCCAGAAAGAAGAAAAAATAAATCTACTCAAAAATAGGCTGGCAGAAAAAGAAGTCGGAAAGGGTGGACTAACGCCATCTAGCATCACTCAAGGTAAGGACACGCTTATAGTGGCAGATTTCATTACTGACGCAGGCACTTCTGATTCTGCTTTCGGGGGTGGCATCTCTGTTTACACTCGATCGTCGAGGTGCAGTCAGTCAGATGTAGAATTCAGCGAGAGCTATCTATGATCAAATGAATCAATTGATATGTAACAACGAAAGTGGTGAAAAAACCATATGTCTATTGAAATCAATATTGTAACTGAGAAAAATGAATAACGCCGGCCTCAAAAAACAATGTGGATGCGTTAAAAAGAGCGTGTTAGTGTTATTTCTAGTACAGGCTCAATAATTTCTTGTTTTTTGTTCACCACAACTAATTATGCACAAAACAGAAAGTCAAGGAACGTTTCACAGTGAACATTTTCACTGAACATTTATTTACTTATTATTCAAACAATCTATCGCATCCTAATTATATGGATGGAAAACATAAAAATTCATATAATTTTCGAAATACTCATGAATGTATAAAAATATTAAAATATTTACCAGGAACTGTAGATGGGAATACTGCTAAAATAGGTAAATTTAACATATGCTCTAACAGTTTTCGCGGAATACTGATTGGAAAGTGCCCAGTCAAGATCTATTGATATCCTATTCAAATGATTAACTAACTTGAGTAAAGATATTAGTGGTGTTTTGTTTGCGGTACTTATGGTTGGAATATGGAACATGAGTGAAAATCGGGTGCGACTAGGAGGAACGTGAAATGGTGACATACTAAGGATTTCTGAGGAATCAATGATGTTATTTAAAAGTTTGTACATGAATGATCTTCGTGAGAACGTTTTTGCAAATGGATTTAATCTCCAACGATTCAAATCCAGTGTGAATCGCTACTTTCGCACAGGCACCACTCTCAGAGCACCTTAAGGATTTTTCTGTAGTGCTTATGTTTTGTCCTCAAGAAAGGTTAATTGGCGTTGCTGTTCTGAAGATAATATTTTAAATCCATGTCGTATATCCGAAGACCTTGTTGCGTTATAGTTTGGCGACTTGTGATATCGTTATAAAATAAATACATCAAGAATTTATTCTGAATGTTTTCTACTTCTTTCATATAGGTTTGGTACTCCGCAAACCAAATAATGAAAGCAAACCAAATGAAGAAATTTGTCTTGTTACAAAACCCAACATCCGACTACCAGATTTCATAATATATCGTATATGATTAACAAATGAAAATTGTTCATTACACCTCAATCCAAGATCTTTGTTTTCAGTTCCGCTTGTGTTTCACTGAACGATAACTTCATCAGGCGTGTTCATACTGAATTAATTCTCTCCATTATATAATAATATTTTAAATCATATGATTTCCTTCTTATTAATGTTCAGGAAGAAACTAATTAAAAATTTGAAAGAAATCCAAACTCATTGAACGGACATGTAATACCAATTTTCACAACAGAAAAAAAAATTCATAGAAAATATAAGCGAGTATGCTTTAGACCAGGGGTCTCCAAACTACGGCCCGCGGGCCAAACCCGGCCCGCCAGTGTCATCAATGCGGCCCGCGACAGCCAATGATTTACTGTCATCAATCTGGCTCGCGACAGCCAATGATTACCTAATTGTTGTTACTATTGCTGTGATAAGTTGAAGAAGAAAACACAGATTGATAATTACTCGGTTTTATTTACTTGCAAGGTAAAACTTAACGACAGAAATTATGACAAAGAAAACTTTACTTAAGTATCTAAGTTCAAGCATATTAATAACCAACAAATAATTGAAATGAATCACAGAAAAACAAAAACACTAATGAGATTTATATAATTGTGATTTTCCACCGACAATACTTTGTAGTTGTGGATCAATTTTACTTGTACCAATTATCAAAAGAGATTTAAGATGCTCATCGGTTAATTGAGATCTGTAAACATTATTTGTGTACTTCATCTTTGAAAACTTTTTCTCATACAAGTAAGTAGTACCAAAAACAGAAAACAACCCACGAGCAAATTTATGCAAATTATCAAATTGTTCCAGTGGAAGACTCTTATAAAATTCCAACAAAGATAAATTTTGATATTTGTTTTCAAGCATATCAGTGCATTTCCATTTGGACTTCCGGAGCCAGGGTTTCAATGTCAGAATCAAAAGGATTTTGAAAAAGCTTAATTTAATCTGAAAAACGAATATCAAAATTTATCTTCAAAGCAATCAAAGTTTCAATTGCAAAATTGACGGAAAATTCAGTCTCTGTAGCGTGGAATATTTCACATGTTTCAAAATGTGTGAAACATTTTTAAAGTAATTGCGATTGAAATAGTTTTATTTTCTGCCTGAAGGAAGGCTAACTTCCACATCTATTCACTATTGGCAAAAGGGCCCTGCTTCTCATTTAAAAAAATTTCGATCTCTGATCGAAGTTCAAAAAGGACTTTTCCGCAACTTTTCCGCAACTAAGCCAGCGTACGGCAGTATGATATGGTAAATCATTTTCTCCAATCATGTTGAATAAACTCGAGAAATTGTTGGTGATTCAGCCCAGTGGATCTGATGAAGTTAACAACTGATATGACTGGTTTTAGAACTTCAGACATATCCAAACATTTTCCGCACAAGGACTGTTGATGAATGATACAATGTAAGACTAATGGTTTTGAACCACCATCGTTTTCTACAGCCTTTGACACAAGTGCAACCACTCCTTCATATTCACCATACATATTATTGCCTCCATCAGTTGTTATAGATTTCAAATTTCTCCATCGAAGGTTCTTGTTATCAATGGCATTTTCAACTCCCTTAAAAATATCTGCCCCAGTTGTCGTGCCGTGAATACTATCAATATCAAGAAGTTCTTCATACACTTCATAGCTTTTATCTACTCCGCGAATAAAAATCATCACCTGAGCAGTATCTGACACATCTGTTGACTCATCCAATGCTAGAGAAAACCACTCATGATGTCCATTTTTGTCAGACAGTTAAGATGATATATTTTCTGCGATTTTCAAATTATTCCTTCCGCAAACTTCCTGTATACTTGGAGTAACTTTGAAGATGTTTCGATTCATAGTGTCGTTTAATGTTATAGTCTTTGAGAACAGCTATGGTTTCATTACAAATTGAACATGACGCCTTATTACTGGACTCAATCACAAAATACTGAAAGTTCCATTTTTCTTGGAACGTTCTGCATTCACTGTCAATTTTTCGCTTCTTTTCCATACCAACAAATCACACATTAAAAGAATAAGTCAAATCAAAATACTTTTATTGACAGGTGTTACTTTATTTCACAATAGACAGTTTCGCTTCCTTCGCCTTTCCTACGCAGACTAACTCGCAATTGCACCGCTAGCCTTTTTATATACAATTATTACTGCCATCTCGAGGTGATCGGAATACACTAGCTAGAACCGGAACTTTCTCGAACCAACGCGGTGATTCCAAATACGCCTTATGCCACCTAGCGAGTAGCTGAAAAAGATAGTACATAGTACCACTACTCGCCACTAGATGTCGATAAGTGTCACGATACACAATAATAATTGAAATGCAAAAAAAGCGTAAGTTTGCTTAGGTCACGCACTTTGCGACTATCCTTGTCTAGAAATATAGTTAAGGGCAGAAATTGGCCCTTGGAACAAACTGAAAAAAATCATTATGGCTCGAAGGCTTCAAAGTTTGGAAACCACAAGACTGAAGTAAATGTGTAAGTATAGGGTATAGTCGTGAGAACTTTCCACCTGTGGATATAAGTTTCACAGCAAGGTTGAGATAATAACATTTAAATTAAATTCATTAAGTACATTATTATATTAATTCCAGATTTGGTATATTCATTGAAACATTGTTATATGGATTTATATAAACCGTCAAAAGATAGGAATATATCACACTGAGATGATTAATATCTGTTTTTTCATCAATGCAAATTTTATTTTCAGCGATGAAGGCCATTTCAAAGAAGGACCTATTTGTTGAATGTGGTTCACTAACTAAGACTTCAGGAATCAAAATTCATATGGTGGTCAAAACTTGTTGACAATGTCGGTTAGCGCGCATCTTTCGGGACACTGTCTACAATCAGTTTTGTGAGAGGATATTCTGGAGCTCAAAGTTCTTGAAGTTTGACCAACATAGTTTTTGTTACACACTTGACATGGGATACTATATGCCACATTCGTTCGAGAAGTGAGGGGGGTTTATCTTTGACTCTGGTGTGTATCGTCTAAGTGTAAGAACTGCTTTATTGGCTATCTTAATATTAAGTAATTCGTTGAATATTCTAGAGAATTTGGAAGTGATTTCCTTAATAAAGGGTAGAGTACTATAAAAGACCTGAGGAGGAGCAATATTGTTTTCATTGTTGTCAATTATATTTGGGTTTGTTGGAAGAGTTGTGATGATGTCTGTTATGGATGAGAAATTAAACAAAATATTTTTTATCATACTCAAAGGGTATGAGTTACTTAGAAATAATTTGAGTAGAATATCAAAATTTTTTTATGACATTGGATGTCAGGTGTTGAAAATCTCGGAATTTTGATTTCACTAAGGTCTTAGCTAGTGAACCACATCCAACAAAATGGTCCTTCCCTGAAATTACCTGCATCGCTGAAAATAAAAGTTGCAATAATGAAAAAACAGATATTAATCATCTCAGTGACATATATTCCTACCTTTTCAACAATCTTTCAATGAATTTACCAAATCTGGATTTAATATAATAATGTACTCAATAAATTTAATTTGAATGTTATTATACCAACCTTGCTGTGAAAATTCTACCCATAGGTAAAAATTTCTTGAGGAATTCTTTACAATTTTAACTTGGTAACAATTTTTATCATTATTACCACTGACATAATGTCATGTCAACTGTTTGTCAGTCCTAACCATTAGATACGAATTGTGAAATTTCCACGTGTGGATAAGATCCTCTTCTAATAATTTCAAACTGTAACGTATTTTTTCAAATATTAGACATCCTTTTCCAATTTTGTAAATGTATTTTACCAATCTACA